GGTGGCAAGGTTCCAGACAGGCATTTTATGACGCTGGGTTCTGGGATTAATGATGAGAGGCGGGAGAGCACAGCCTGTCCTATTTGCTGGTCTGGGTCTGGATCTCAGCTCCAGCAGGACTAGCTTTGTGGCTCTGGGCAAACTACTTAGCCTCACTGGCTTTGGAAATGTTGCCAGAACTCATAGAATAGCTGTGAGAATCACACAGTTGCTCAGAAAAGTGCTTCCCACACAGTTAACACCCAGCAGCAATCATCCCTATTCCACCGAGGTGATCCCTGAGAAAAAAGAGTTCCATGTTCCTCTTCAAAGTGGTCTTCACAGACTTCTCTTCCACTCGAGTGTGCATTCTCAACAGGGGGGCTCCCAAAATGAAGAAATAATCTTACTCTTCCTGTATGTACAAAGCACAGATACTCACGTAGAATGTAAGAGGCAATTAGGAATGTCTTGCCAAGGCTCCTTAAGGGTACTGAGAAAGGCTGAGGAACACTGTTACGGTGACCTCCTTGCTTGGTCAGGATCCTTCTGCTCATCTGTTCTTAACTTCATAGAGATCCTAGCACGGCCACGGAGTCCCGATACAGTGGAGGAGAGAAACAGTTGAAGAACCTTCCTGAACCAAGATGACACTACAAGTCGGTGGCCCTCCACCCTGGATGTCTATTAGAGTCACTGCAACATTCCCAAAGGAAGCTACCTTGCCCCAGCCTCCCAAATTCTGGCTGGGTGGGTCGAAGAGGAGCCTGGGCATCAGGGATGGTAATATCCATTGTAGTGTTAATCAGTGTCTCAGTGCACATGCGCACAACAAGCAGTTTCCTAAAAATTGAAATTTTCAAAGCATCATGGTGTTCACTTTAATGCTGACCTGTCTCTCCTGTCTTTGAACACACAGTCTTACAACCTTGTATAGTTTTTTTTTTTTTTTTTTGAGAGAGAGCATATATGAGCTGGGGCAGTGGTGTGTGGGGAAGGGAGAGCAGAGTGAATCTTAAGCAGGCGCCATGTTCAGCACAGACCCCAATGCAGGAATCGATATTAACGACCCTGAAACCATGACCTGAGCCGAAAGAGTCAGACATTCAACCCACTGAGCCATCCAGGTGCCCCTCACCTTGCTCAGATTTAAAGAACCCTAAGGCCTCGAGCTTCTGAACTTGGGCTAACAACAGGGCAAGAAATAAGCAACGACCTCAAGTATGGGAAGAATGAACCGTATGCAGGAAAGCGGATCGCAGCCCATACTCCCTCTCAGGTACCACTCTCATCCCGTGGCTACTCCAACCCCCTGCCCGCCCCCCGCTTCCTTCCCCACCGCTTATGGAGGCCCTCAGCGAGAATCCAGTGCTACTCAAAGTCCTCAGCCTTTGAGTATCCATTCCTGTCTTTTTTCTCTAAGGGGACACTTTTCTGAGGCCAGGCCTGGGACGTCTATTTCCTTCTCCTGTTGCAAAGCCTGGCTCCAGATTCTGTTATGTGCTCTGAGGCATTCCACTTACTCCCGCTTGCTTCCAGCACCTTTAATGGGTAACTAATTACCCCTTACCACACCGATTCCTTAAACTGGGGAGAATACTTCCTATAACAAGACAAAGAGGTAAATCCTGTGCATAAACTTAAACAGCACCACTGCGTGATCGAGTTATCTGTCCTGGCCCAGAAGGGACTGGTGAGGTCTAGAAATATGCCTTATTCATCACTGTCACCCTAGCCAAACACACCTCAGGTTCTCATGACACCTTTGAATAACAAAGAGACAGCTGCCACGAGCAGTGTGCAAAGTAACCATTTTCTCTTTTCCCAGCCCACGTTCTAAACCAACTGAGAGACACGAAGGAGTTAGGCTGATGAGGTCAACTGTCAGCTTCTTCTTTTTTTTTTTTTTTTTTAACTCATGGAGCTACGGGAAGATGGCTTTGGTGACCAGATGTACCTGCCAGGCTCTAAGTTGATGTGAAAACCTAGAGACCCTCGCATGTTGGGGCTGCCCCCATAAATGATGGCAGAGAGCAGAAGACCAGAATCTGTGCTTCCCATGGGCAGCTGGCTCCCAAGAGAAAGAAGGTGCTGAGTGACACATGTCTGGTTCTTCACCCCAAACTCAGTCAAGGAGGGAACAAGGCAGGCAATGCGCAAGAAGGTGGGAGTGTTTAAGAAAAGCTCCAGCTCATGGGAATGAGGACAGAACAAGCTTTTTCCCTCCACAGTTTAAAGTCCCACATGCTTCTTTTTTTCCTGACTGCATGCATCTCCTGGTTCTCCCTCCAGTGGTCACCAACCTTCCTTTGAAGAGAACAAAACATGGGATCAAACAGTCATATCCACATCTTTCTAACACTGCTGCTCCTTGTCAATAATTGTGCTTGCATCCTATGTAAACCACCCCCCCGCCAATGCCAGCTCCAATGCTCATCAACATCTCCCCCTCTTTGTTCTGCTATGGGGGAGGGGAGCCTCCAGAACACTCTCCAATGCTCAGTGAGGACTAAGGTCTGATTCACCACCTTGTCCCCCCATGTTAGCTCCTGAGATTATATGAAAGAAATCCCAATCCTCCTGAATGACCGACAATCCCAACTCCTCCCTCGAGTGATGTCAACTCTAATTCATCCCTCCCTATAGCTACCTTGTTAGCTGTTAACTACTCTCTGAAAACAAGCTCTGAGACCCAGTTCTTACCCACCACGGTCCTTACCCCCTCCTCCCAGTGCTCCTGAGCTTTATCTTCAGCAAGACCGTCAGGCAGAATCTTTCTTCTTTCACCTTTTACAAATGGATTAGCTCCTTCTTAAATTCACTACCTTTACATCCCACAACACACTTGCGCTGAAAGGCATAATTAAATACTTTCCAGGCTCATACGTTCTGCTGTACATGTCCAAACCACACACGCTCTTATTCACCTTTGTTATCACCAGTACCTCTAACACAGTGCCCGGCAGAAAGTAAGAGCTTTCCAAACATTTGCAAAATTCAACCAACAAAACGGAACTTGAAAAATAAGATGACGGTGTTTAACTTAGGAAGCAATGAAGTTTTCTCACCTACTAGTGTGAAAGTTTTCTTTAACAGTTTTAAAGAAATCAACGTAGTATGTCACAACAATGGATGCCAAAATCCAGAATCCGGAATGGATATTAAGTCTTGGAAGAGGTTTCTCCTTTTTTTCAACAGCTGTAGAGGTTTCTGCAAACAAGGAAGATTTTAACTTATCAGGTTAACATAAGTTTATAAAGACAAAGAACAGCTATTTTAAGCCAGATAAAATAATTTCCTGGAGCTTTCCAAAACCCAGATTCTCTCCAATCAGAGTACCGGTTTCTTCTGTACAACCATGCAAATAGGTTTATATATGCAGAAATAATTAATAGGAACCTGTTATAAAACATGTTCAATATAGGCAGATTTTTCCCTTTAAACAAATTTTAAGATCAAATTTACAGTTATTATCGTCTTTTGGAAAGAATGACACCTTCCGGTAGTGTAGAATTTTAGTATTATGTTTCATATATTGCCTAGGAAAGTAGTTAGTCTTAATTAAGAAAAATGGAGACAGCAGACATTATAGCACAAAACAGACTTGTAATTTCCCCCAAAATACTACTTTTAACTACATATTTTGATTATTGCAAACAAACACAACCTTGTGAGGCAGCTCAAAAGTGGCAAGGGCACACTGGAGGTCTAGTCTTGGCACAGTAGTGTCCAGACAGGTGATGGACAAATCAAATTTCTTCCATTTGAGACCCAACCTGAAAGAAAAGGTGCCTGGGGTTGGGTCTGATGAGTTATTTCTAACAAGTTCCCCAGATGAGTGACATGCCTTCTCAGTTCTTGTGAGAACCACTGGCATACATCTGAGGTCCCCAACCTTTAGCAAACCATCAGAATCCCCAGGAGGCATGGTCATAATACAAATTCTGAGAGATACCCTCAAAATTTATAAATAAGCATGCCTGGGCATGATGTTTTCTGTTTATTTTTAAAAGGGTAATAAGTGCACCTGACTTACAACATGCAGGACAGATAAATCTAAAATGAAATCTCTTTCTCCTACCCTTAACCCTAGTTTTACAACCCGAAAGCAACTGCCAGTATCAACTATGAATTCTTCCATATTTTATGTATTTACAGGTGAACACACATCACACGTCACCAGGTTCATACCCAAATGGTGGCATACCATACTTTGTTCTGCGCTTGCCTTGGAAAATCATCCACCCTGGTTAAAAAAGAAAAAAGTCTGCCTGCTGTGTCAAGTATGAATACATCCAAATGTTTAACCAGCGCTCTGCTGATGGGCAATTAGATGTTGCCAGCCGTTCACTATTACAAGCAATGCTGAGGTTAAACCCTTCGTACATACGTCCTCGGGTTGTGGTACGAGTATGATTCTTTGGTAGATTCTTAGAAATACAATCGGACGGTATTTTTTATTTTAATGGCTATTACCAAACAGGTGTTAACCAGGTCTCCCGGGAATCCTGAAGCGCAGCTGGGATGAAGATTCGCGGGGCTACGCGATCACCCGTAATCTTTTATGTAGCTAGATACCCGACTTGCACAACTACTCGGCAAGCCTTGAAAAGCGAAACCCGGTTCCTCCTGCCAGGGCAGGGCTGCAGGAGACCGACGGAGCCGGCCGTTTCCGGGCGCCTCGGCCCCGGCCACCTCGGCGCGGCTCGGGGCACGCCCGGGGGAGCCCCTCACCCGGCCCGGCGTAGCCCTCGCTGTCCAGTGGGGCCTCGGTGTCCGGCGGGAACAGGTATCGCCGTCGGAGCTGCTCCCGGGCCCGCGGAGCGTCCATCTTGGCACCGCCCAGAAGCGCGACGGAAGTGACACAACATCAGGAACTTCCGCCATTGGATCTCCGACAGAAGTGTGTGAGGCTGTGAGGAGTGGGGATTATGTAGTTCTCGCGGTTTTAGTTGGTGAGACTCTAGGGTGGGGTTGGGTTCGCAACCTCCGGGTTCGAGTACACAGACAGAATCTGAATTTCAAAAAATACGACCCTGCCCCCGCGGAAGAGATCCCAGTTGGATTCCGACCTACGGAAGCCCAGAAGGACCAGGCTTACCAGTGCCGCCAAATGCGTGCCAGGCGAGGATGCGCGGCTAAGTGGCGCTGCCTGTTTCCCTCGGCTCTTTACTGACCGAGCCTCCTCTGACTCCCTGTCCCCAGAGCATCTTAGCACCCCGGCTTCTTCCCTGCTTTTCCTCTTCAGGAGTCGTCCAGCTAGACTTGAAAGGGCCGAAGGAAGCCCCGGGAGGAGGAAAGGCCAGCCGCCAGGTCCCAGTGCCCGCTGCCCAGCCTCTATCCTCGCCCCTGCCTTGGATGGGCTTGGGCAAGAGATAAACCTCTCTGGGCCTGTATCCTCTTCGGCACCACGGGAGATAACCCACCTATACCTTGGATCTGTTGTGGGGTTTAAGTGGGGAGCGCGCGTGTGTGGTTCATGTTAGCCCCCTCCCGACTCGTGAGAAATTGCCTCTGCCAGGAACGTGGGAGCCGAATTTGTCCTTGGCCGGAGAACTGCCGCTTCCCATCACGTACATCAACCAAGAAAGACTGTGTCACGAATTCACAAGCTTTTTCCAGCAGGAGACCCGTTTATTACTCTCCTACCCGGCTCTATGCATCATGTGTTGAGAAATTTTGTGCTTAACTATTGCAGTATGATTACTGAGCACCTGCTATTTGCTGGGAACTGTTAGACATTATGCTTGGCAATAGATAAAGACGAGTAAGAGATCACGTTGCCCTTGAGGCACTCCTGGACCGAAGATGACCACAGAGAACTACTACAGTGTAGTGCAGTGTTTATAAATGTGCAGAAGCTTTTTTGTTAATTCAGTCAGCGTTTTCTGAGCAGCCATATCCACTAAAGTGCTGGGGACAGAGGTGAGTTAGAATCTAGTGGAGGAGTCAATTTCAATACAGGGCCGTAATAGAAATACCATATGTGGGGTTATGGGGGCACCAAATAAAGAGCTGTGTGCTCTGCTTGGCGTGTGGGCAGCAGGGGTAGTGGCTTGAGGTGGATTGAATACATGGGTGGATAGCCTAGGAAGCAGCCCAGGAAGTAAAGTTTGCATTAATAAGCACTTTGGTATCTTCTATATGTCATGAGTATTTGCAAAAGAGATTTAATAAGTATTCAAGAGAAGAATGCCAAGTTTCTGCTGGATGGCTTCTGTCATTCCTTCAGCCTTTCTAGCAAACTCGTAGGAGCAAAGGATGTAACAGCTGGGTAGATCATATGGCCTTTCTACACAATGCCTCCCTTTTTGTTTGGTTTTGTTTTTTCTTCTTCTTTTCAGACTCCTCAAGAACCAGGATTCATCAGTTCAAAGCCAACTGAGGTCTTTGCCCTCCCCTCTTTTCTCTCTTGTACAGGGTTAGAAGCCTTGTCAACAGGAAGTGAATTCTTCCTATCAAATACAGTCTTCTGTTGATTGTCTCCTTGCAAGAAGGTCAGTGCTGGGTCTCCCTTGTAACTGAATATTCCCCAGAGCATCACAGTGACTCCAGGGTTTCCATACGTAGTATGTTCAGGTCAGATCCAGTTTCCCCTTTGATGGTTTCAGGGTCTTTGTATTTGGATCTGAAGCCCTTTTAGCCTTTTTCCCCTGATATTTTTAATGGCATTACTTGCACACCATATTGATGATACTTAAGCAGGTTGGAAAAAGTCCGGTATTTAATGACCACATCTTCTTTGCTGGGGCCAGTTAAATAAGTTCTTAACTGTGTGTTCTGTGTACCTTAATAGATAACCTGATATCAGAGTGCTACCAACCAAGGGATTTCATTTTCAATGTCAATTACTTATGGGAAAAAATGAAATTGACTATGACCTTTGCTGGGTGTCCTTAGCAACTTGGTTACATCCAATGTGTTTATAAAATTTTGAATCCTGTCTCCATCATGATGGGTCTTTGGACAAGGTATTTCATTTTTCTAAATATCAGTTTCCTCATCTGGACACAATAGGTACCAGAGTGATGATAAATGTGTACCAATCGCTTAGCCTATTTCCTGGAAAATATGTGTTCAAGAAGGTAGTTACTATTCTGTACTACTTACTTAGTCTTCCAGATCCTGCTCACCTCCTAATCAGTTATTCCCTTCTCCTTGGGCTCCAGAAAGGCTTCTTGTGATTTTCCTTCCACTTGTGCTCTCCCACCTGACTGTGGGCAACAACCATATCTTAGTAGCTCCCCAGTACCTTGCAAACACCTGACACGTAGCAGGAATTTCATTACCCAGTTTTCACCTTGACCGTTGGTCACAGTTAACTGGTCTTCAGTGTGGACACATATCCCTTCCTCTGAGAAGCTACTTTCCCTCCTCTCTGTAGTAGTCCTGCAGAGTTCCCATGAGATCCAGCCTGTCCTAGGGGAGGACACCGGACCTATACCAGACCTGACAGTCCCTGGGACTTGAGCTGGGGCTGTTGGGAAGACCTCCTCTGATGGTATGATAAGCTGTGAGGCCAGTATGGTCTTGGGGCTGCCACCATGGAGACCCATGGAGAAAGCCTACCTAGGAAGGAAGCTCTGAGATGCAAGCCAAGCATTGTTGGTAGCATCATTTCAATCTTGACTCCCGCCAAGCCCTGGTTAACCTAGGTAAGAACATGAGCTCTGGAGCCAGCTGCCTGGCTGACGGGCATCACTGATTCTGCCACAACTTGCTGTTCCAGTGTTGGGCAAGCCATGAATCTGCTCTTCTGCCTTAGTTTCCTCATTTGCAAAATGGATTAAGGATAGCATCTACCTCACAGGATTGGGTAAAGATCAAAAGTATTAATACATGCAAAGTGCTTAGAACAGCGTCTGACCCAGAGAAAGCTCTCAATAAGTCTAACCTGTTGTCATTAATCCATTGCTGAGACGTCACTGATTTCTGAGGCAAAAAAAACACCACCACTTTTTAAAAAAACTAATGCCACTTAAGAGGTTTTCTATTATGTGCCACCTGGAGTCCAGACCAGTGTGGCTCTGTCCTCCCATTGGGCCATGTAGCTGTTGCATTGGGCTCAGCTGGATGGTGAGCATCTCCAGGAATGAGGTCAGACATGCAGAGCTCTGAAGAAAGCGCTTGGCCCGTGGGAAGTGCTCAGTAAATGCTCATTTGTATCACTTGGGATACTGCCCTTCATTCCGAAAGGAAAGCCAGTTTAAAAAAAAAGGGGGTGTCTTTAATTATATAAACAATGCAATGAAGTACAGGTTTCTCTTCCTGCACAACTCCATTTCCCTGATGAAAACTGTGGCATTGGGATCACTACCTAAAAAGACAGCATTTTGGAGGCTTCTGATCAGTACTTTGAAAACAGCTCCCAAATGGGCGGTCACTTCACACTTCCACCAGCAGCAGGCAAGAGAAACCTTCTATAACTTTGCACCCACAGCTGACGTGATCATTCTGGTAAATTTTTCCTAAGTGATAATGGGAGAGGGGTGTTTCTACCATTTTATTTTTTATTCTTTAAAGATTTATTTGAGAGAGAGAGCAGATGGGGAGGAGGGGCAGGAGAGGGAGAAAAAAATCTCATTCAGACTCTGTGCTGCACTCAGGTTGTGAGTTCAGCCTGAGCCAAGTCAAGAGTCGGGTGCTTAATCGACTGAGCCACCCAAACACCCTGTTTCTGCCGTTTTAATTTTCTTTATTATTAACAGGGTTTTTTTCCCACTTGTCTATTCGCATGTCATTTTCCTTTGGGGATTTTCATTCTTTGGTTGTTTTTACAGGTCAGAGATGCCTTTGAATATCAGATCTGTGTTCATTATGCTTTTGTCACTTTACTGTTTATCTTTTACGTTTGATCACTTTCATACCTATGTTTAGGTTTGGGTTTCTTCACTTGTAGCTTTTGGTGAAGGCAGAGTTGGGACCAGGTGGGGTACAGTTGGAAAATCCTGGCAGTTGGGAAATGCTCAGTCACTTAGGGGATGAATCACATGATGACTCCACCTGAACCCTCTTCAGATGGACCTAGTTGTGGCCTGCCTGCCTGTTAGGCACCTGGTTATCCCCAGAGAGACTTTTTTTTAGTTCACCACAACTAAAACCAACCCTAACCAGCCCAAGAAAAACAATAATGACAACCACAGCAATAACCATTATAAAATATACGTGCAAATTTTTTTTTTTTTTTTTGAAGAAGCCTATTGGAATTCCACTGAAGAATTTTACAGGATTGAAGAAACTAGGATTTCAACCAAGTCTGAGTGAGGCTAGCTCCGGGAGCACCCACGTGACTCGGCTTTGAGGACACTGTGTGTCTGTGGCAGAGGGTAAGAGCTGGCTCGCGCCCTCTGCCCATTGCCACTCGCATGCCAGCTTCGGACCCTCAGCATCTGTGTCACTTTGGAGTTTTCTCTGGTCACACTGTCCTGCAGCAGTGAGAGATGGAATTGTCAGATAAGGGACATCAGTGTGAGTCTGGAGCCCTGCTGCCCAGCACCAGAGCAGCCCCCGGCGAACCTCTGAAGACACGCAGTGTGCTGTGTTCTGGGATAGGGTGTTAGGGAGAAGAATGGAGAAACTTCCTGCGGGGGCTAGTGGGTCAGGCGGCAGGGAGGTGCTCAGCTCAGCCACAAGAACAGGACAGGAAAAGGACTGTTCCTAAAGCTAGACGGAGAAGGAGGGGGTAAGGGCGGGGACTGGCCTAGAATGAGAGGCCAGGTGGGCAGGACCTATGAAGGTATCCCCAAGCACTCCTGAAATTTCTGGCTCTGGGGCCAATTTGGGAGCTACGTTTGGGTCCATCGTGTTCTGTGGAAGGACAATCTCTCTCGTTTTAATTGCTCACACTTAAGTTGAGAGCCACCATCAGGCTTGCAAACCTAGAGAGTAGAGGTGTGACCTGGCTAACTGGCCTCCCAGATGCCCAGAGTCCTCCAGGCTTTTAACACCGGTCTTGTCCTTGACAAGATCTAAATCATTCAGTACCCAGAATTTGGCCTGTTGATGGTGTGCATGTCATCAAATAAAACAAGCTCATTTCTAAGAAAAGGCAGGTGGAAACAAGAAGGGGGTCCTGACCCAAGGAATATTTGATCAGGAGGAAAAAAAACTACGATATCAAGGAGACAGCAGAGTTCATATCCTAATCCTGCTACTCCTGACGTGACCTGAGGCAAGTCACTTAAGCTCTCACATCTCATCCACAGAATGGGCGTTTTACAGCCCCCTCCTGGACTAGGTGAAAGATTTGTGAGATGGACAGATGCAGACGTAAAGGGCTTAGCACTCCACATGAGGAACCCGGTGTCATTGGGGAAGTGAAGTCTAGGCAGTGGGGAGAGCAGCCCGGGAGTGGCACATGGTCAATACCAGTGAAGCAGTGACAGGTCCCAGCATTGCAGCCTCGAAGGGGTGAGCCTAGTGGCCTTCCCATAGGAAGAGGTCAGGCTGTGGAGCAGCAGGAGAACAGATGCTGATGGAAACAGTAGCCGTCTTTGACCAGCACCTTACCTGGAAGGACTAATCTTCACAGCAACCACATGAGGTAGTCACCAGCATGACTGGGATCTGATGAAGCATTACGTTAGTCCTTTGATAGAAGGATTCAGTGATCTTTTTGGGAGATTCGTTGTAATTGCTGAGTACATACCTTATTTATTTATCAGAGCCGAAAGGCCCCTCATTGCCCGGGTCTTGGCCTGTCGCCTCCCAGCTTGTGAACTGGAGCGTAGACGTGAACCCAGGCAGGTTTGGCCTCAGAGCCTAAGCTCTGAGCTGCTAGGCTAAGCAGGCTCTGATGACTCAGCATTTCAGGACATAAGTTACAGAAAAGTCAGAGAGCCCAGAGCTCATTCTTGCCAAGTGCTGGCTCTGAGATGCTGGGCCACTTCATTCATTCAGCTAGACACCAGGAAGACAGTATATGTGACCTGCTTGCCCTTTTCCCACCCAGACCTGTGGCAGGCATGGCTAATCAATCCTGGCATTTCTTATCCTTCCTAAGCACTGGGGTAGGGCCTCCAAATCCTGAAGGACACCAGAAAATCACCAGTTGACTAGCATTAACACATCAGATAAAATCTAGTTGCTGTACCTCTCATGAAGTCTTAAGGCATGCCAGACAATAGTACAGAAGTGCAAACCGGGGGTTGCTTTTATGCCAGTAAGCGTCTGCCTGTCATTTCCTTAAGACATCCAACATAGAACAAGTGCCCCAAAAATCACAAAAGTCACACAGGGAAATCGTCCTGCCAAGCTCAGAAAAATGAAGGTATTACCAGGTTGTACTAGAGGGTGAATCCTTGCTTGAGGAGGGTCCCTTGGACTCTACCCCCTCCTTGGGCACCACCCCAAGGCCATGGCCACAACTCCCGAGGAAACCTCACATTAAAAAGACAAAACAAGGGGAAGAAAATCCCAGCCTTCTGAGATTGGTGGTGGAGAGCAGAGTCCCTGTTTGCAAGGCCACATCACGAATCACAGCACCAGGCTCTTGACAAGGCTGGATGGAGGCCTGGTTTCAGGGACCAACACGGTCGGGCACAGAGAGCCCTCGAGGTCACTGCCTGTCATCAGGACAAGGATTTAGAACCACCAGCTCCCTTTAACCCTTGGTTCTCAAACTCATTCAAATACTACTCAACTCTTCAGCCACTGAGTAGAATCACTCCCAGGCAGTAGAGTGCCAGGCGCTTTTGTGGAATATCATGAAATATGGATAAATTAAATGAAAACTGACCCAGTGCTATAAAAGTTCACAGCCACTTCCATTGTACCTGAGCTAGAATCGCATGCATGGTGACAGATGTGGTGAAATTTTTTAGGCAGGGACTCCTTATCAAGGAGAAAGTTCCGTTGCCTGGACTTTTTTTTTTTTTCCCCTGAAACCTAGAAGAGGGACTGCCATTTCAATTTTAGCTATAAAATAGCTCTCTGTTCAGGATCAGCTTGGTCAGAGCAGGGAGAGCCTATAACATTACCATTAGCATCCCAATGCAAACCTGATGCCAGGTTCCAAGAGCAGAGCTGTTGGCAACTACCCAGTAGAACTGAGGCTGTACCCATCTTTGATCTACAGGGGGGATATCTAATATACGGACCACCGAGGGCCTCCAGCACAAGTCGGCCTGAGGTCACCAGGGAAGGCAGAGCAGCAAAGGTCATGTTTCAGCAGCTCACAATAACCGCTCTGTGGCCAAACAAAGGCCTGACCTTCCAAGCCATGTCTGACCTTTCAACTCTGACACCTGTGTTTACTCAGCAATTATAGCTTAAACTACCAAAGGGACTAAATTAGAGCATCCCTGGATCCCACCCTAAGAAAATCTGGACAAGGCTTCATGCTCAAAACAAAGGGCTTCTCTTTCCCCCAGTGCGTACGACTGCTTTGTACCCAAGACGGGGAATTAGAAGGGAGTCTGGAAATCTAGTAAGTGAGCTGAGCAGGATCCTGAGTTTCTTTAAATGCTGAAAAGACAGTGGTAGATTTATCTACTAGTATGTCATTCTTTGCGGGGGAGGGTGTTGCTGTGCTGATTCAACATCATTCAAATCTGTGAAAACCTAGAGGTAGTTTTCTGCAGCTATGAAGCTGCTGGTAACCCCCAGTGACTTGATAGCATTGACTAGCAGAGCTAGCATGAGGAGACAGACCCAGAGATGGAAATTTGAGAACAACTAAATTTCAGTACACTTCTGGGCAAAAAAACCTCACCTGCCCTCATGCACTGAGGGGTGCCCTATAAACTGGTAAGAAGGCTCTGGAAAACCTTTGGGCCTCATCTCTTACAGCTGAAATGCAGGCGATGACTCCGTGATTCTGGTCCTCAGTAGACACCCAGTAGAAAGGGACAAGCCCCGTACCTGCACCAGGAGCCTCACAGAGGACACCGATGTCCTTAGAAATCCTGCCACACTGGGGCCAGCTGAGCGTGTCCTCAGCAAAAAAAGGGATCGATGTCGGGCATCCATAAAGACAGCATCCACTCACTGAATAGAAAAGGAACTTAGAAGGCCTATGTTAGCCATTTCTTGAAAGCTGAAAATAAACTAAGCTCTAGTAACCACAAAGTATGGGGAAATATATACAATATGCCTTTTTTTTTGGATGAATAATTGATCTCCGGTTTCCTTCCATAACACAGGGAATTAGAATTGTTTAAGAGTGCGATGATGGTTCTGTATCTAGGTATAAGTCAACAGTGTTCGGTTATCTACTTTGCGCTGGAGTCCACCTTCATCACGGAGACAAAAAAGAATAACATCAGCCAGGAGGATCCGTTTTCAGTGGGGGAATAACGAAGTAAGACAAACTGTCCAGAGCTTTCACTAATGGAAATGAGTTGAATAAAACCTCTGATCTCTGCGAACTTGCCTCCTTCAACCGCAAAAGCATTATCTAAAAAACAATCTATATCAAAAACTGTTGTCTTTTCCCCTCCCCAATTCCAAGAAATCTATTTTGGAAAAAAAGAGGTAATTACAGGCTAGTGAGATTTTCAAAGTAAATTTTTTAAAAAAGATTTTATTTACTTATTTGAGAGAGAGAGAGAACATGATCTGGGGCAGTAAAGAGGCAGATGGAGGGAGAGGCAGACTTCCCACTGAAGAGGGAGCCTGATGCCCACCAGATCCCAGGACTCTGGGATCACAACCTGAGCTGAAGGCAGACGCTTAACCAACTGAGCCACGCAGGTGCCCCTCAAGGTAAATGTTTTAATAGGACCTGGGCAGCTCAAGTTTTAACTCTGAAAGAGAAATGGTATGTTTAGAAAGATGAGAACTTCTCAAAGATATTCATGAAAGTCTGCAAGCCTATAAAAATGCTATTGACCTTGACTTTTATGAGCTTATTCTCACAAGGACCCCTGGGAACCAGGGTCCTTGAAAGCCTCTTTCCTCAGAGGGGTCATCTTCCTGCACCCCAGGAGCAAACCACTTGTCCTTGCCTGAAGCAAAATTTTGCAAAATCACGCAGGGTTATCCACATTAATTTTGCTGCTTTCAAACTTTCTCCACATAAATGTCCCTGTACCCACAGCTGCTGCATTCTTTGGCTTCTTCATCAGCCCACGTCCAGCTATGCTCACTAGTCGGTGCAGAAGGAAGGGCAGCCCTGGGTTCAGTCCTGCTTGGCCTCCCTCTTTGTGCTGAGCTGTGGCTTCCTCATTGGACTGCAAGATGCCTAGTGTGCCTGACATTAAAGAGGGCCCAGCCCAGGACGGTTCCACATCTTCATGTTTTGGAGCAGAAGATATAGCCCATCTTCTCCCAAATCTAGCTTGTCAGTGGCATCATGGAAAACAGCAATGTGCACAGCTGACAAATCCAGGCAGCACCAGAAAGGTGTCCCATACAAAAACCACAGTGTCCAAATGCATCCTGGCAGGTTCAGAGATACCCGAGGGCCAGATGCAGCAGACCAGTGTGGGAATAGGCAGAATATGGCAGAATTCAATGTTACACTCAACTCAGACATGAAGCTATAAAGTCAGTCACAAATACCATTAGATCGGTTTCTACAGTCTCTGGGGCTCCAGTATTGTGTTCGAGTCTAAGGCAGGCAGGCAGCTGCCAAAACCAAAGGGTGGTCTGTGTGCAGGGCCCTCAGGAATGGTCTGTGGATCGTGCTCGTCGCCAGACCCAGAGGCATAACTACACACCTAGGGAGCCCTTCCCACCACCAGCCGCAGCACTGAAGACCCCTATCCATGACACTGACTATCAGAACCCGCAGAGCTGGCCTTGCTTCTTCATCCTCATGGAGCTCAAGGGAACAGGGAGGCCGCTGCCTCCAGCCCCAGCGCCCAGGCACTACGCTAGCGTTGCCAAGCAGCTGTCGGCCCCATGGTTGCTGGGTGTTGCCAGCAAGTTCTAACTCAAGAACCTTGGGTTAACAGACAGGATGACAGAACTGAGGACTCTGCCAGGGTCTAAGTCTAGGTTGTACTTAATTCTGCCCCATTTGCCCAACTCTGCCTTAAATGCATCCTAGTAAAGGGGTACCGGGGTGGCTCAGTCAGTTGAGCATCCAACTCTTGGTTTTCGCTCAGGTCATGATCTCACGGTTGTGAGATGGAGCCTGGCATCTCAGATTCTGCTTAGCGAGGAGTCTGCTGGAGATTCTCTCCCCATTCTCCTCTGCCCCTCCCACCACTCTACCCCCACCCCACACTCGCACTCTAAAGAATAAATTTCTAAAAAATGCATCCTGGTAAAATTGACAAAAAATAAAAACCAGCATAGATCTTGAAATGCTGTGGAGCTTCTCTTGAACATGAAAATGCGGGGGTGGCAAGTAGGTTCTCAGCTCCCACTGTGCACAGGGAGGACAGGGGAGCAGGAAGGCTTCCTGGACTGCACTCAGGAGTCATAGCTGGGCTCTGCTCGTCCCTAAAGTATGTGGTCTGGGTCAAGCCTCACTTTCCCCTTTGCTTTCCAGAATGTCTGAGCCTTCTCGTGGCTGGAAACTCGATACTGAGAATGCTAACAGCAGTGGGTGAGCATCTGCCAGGCTTCAGGCACGGTGCTGTTTGCTTCACATGCGAGTCCATTCACTCACAGCCCAAGAGGAGCCTTCGGCATCCCCACTGTTTAGATGGGAGAAGGGAGGTTCACAAAGGTTAACTATTAAAGGACTAAGCCAGGACCAGACTGTGAGCCCGATTCCAAAGCCTTCATCCCAACACAGTGCCCCTGAATCCCATCATCACAGCGGCATGTCCCCAGATCGGAATGGGACACATTGCTGCTGAATTTGGGGGCGAGTAAGGGACCTGTGGGCAGAGCCTACTCCAATCTCAGCAAGTGGCCAGACACAGCTCTCCTCTGGCACCACACACCGGGACTCAGAATACCTCGTCTGAGAGCATTTCCATCCACTCAGAACCCTGGGACATCAACACAGCTAAGTGATGGGCTCTGTTTCAGGCAAGCGATTTCCCCTAGGTGGTCACAGTCTGTCTCAGGCCAAAGCAGGACAGGGCCACAGTGCAGACGGGCCAGACTGTTACAAACAAACCTCATCTGAAGAGGGGGCCTTCCGGAGAGTCCACGGACTGCCACAGACTGAGGACTCTCGTGACCATTTCACATGTTCTGACAACACAACAAACCCACCAAAACCTCTAATTAAAACTGTATAGAAGTGATGCAGTTAAAACACTTTTTTTGTCTGCTCCAAAGGAGGAATTTTTTTTTTACTTGTAAAATTTTAAAAGTTTTTCACCATAAAAGTATTCCATCAAGTACAACAATTTTCACCACCAGATTTAGAATCTTGGGTAAGAATATATTTTCTCATAAAAGTTCTACCAAAAATAGACTTTATCCTTAACTTAAAAATACAGCTTTGGAAAGCAAAATTAGGAGTTGTTATAATTCATTACGTTTTATAAACAGCAGTGAAAGACATCAACAGAACAGATTCCATTTTTAAATATAAAAATGTTCATTTCAAAAGCTTGACTTTGTCCTTTAGTAACTTAAAGGTAGGGTTCTTGCTGATTTTCTTGTTAAAGATGGTCAGGAGCTCCTCTTCAGACTTGTGATGCTCATTCGTCACTGCGTAATACTGAGCTAAAACCTTCACAAGGAAAAACAATCATCAAATTGGTGATCTTTTTCCTGAAAATTTGCCTGGAATGTTGTTTCTTTAACCCAGAATTAGGACAACAGTAAAAAACAAAAGGAACAGGCATTGGTAGCACAGGTGTGTTCTGTGGAAATTCAGACACCTGTACACATAGGAGCACTCTGCTGGATGGGTATCACACAGAAATGCAGAATTAGATGCAAGAACAGAAGAAACGACTGCTCTGGAATAAGCAGAAGAGAGCAAAACACCAAAAACTGTCATTTTCAAGTTTAATGTGGGCACTGTTCTGGCTAACAAAGTACGATGGGATTTGGCCCAATTCCCTCCCATCAGCCCTGAGGAGCTAGTAAGCAGATTGAAAATCACCAAGATAAAAACAAATGTGTAGTATTTTAGATGGGGGAAAAAACACAAAACATGTACAGCTTTAAGAAGGGGCTCTCCCCAGCTTATATACCTGGGTTCAGGAGCCATACCTTTTTCCTTAGCTTTTTGATGGCTACTTCATTGTCTGGGGCCTGTTTCAGAACTGCTTTAATGGTTCCCTTCCAGTTGAATTTACCTACAATATAAAGAATAATACATAAAACATTTTGTTTTGGTGTACTACCAGAGGGATAAAGAAACTATCTGTGTGACATCTGTTTGCCACCCAGGAAACTAACACACCTGACAGTACCAAGTAGCAGGTGTGCCTGACTTGTCCGAGCACAGGGGTCAACAAGCCCGACTTGCCTCCCAGCATGCACTCACAGAGTGAGTGAACTGCATGTCATGCGGGCACCCTGAGTGCCATCGCCACTGTAAGGATGAAGCAGGACAAGTGGTCCCCGGTTTTGAGACCTCTGATACACTTATAGGGACCAAGACTGTGTGGTATTTGGAGAGGGCACACACACATCAATGAAACAGAATTAAGAACCAGAAGAGAACTACACAAAGACGCCAAGCTGACTTTTGAGAAGGTACAAAAGCAATTCAGTGAGGTGACAGCCTTCTTAATAAATCGCTGGAGCTATTACACAGGGACCTGCAAAAAAAATGAACCTTGCACTCAGTCTCTTCTTTTACTTGAAAATCAACTCCAGCTGGATCACGGGCTGAAGAATAAAATATAAAACTGTAACATTTAGGAAAACGTGGGAAAAAACCTTTGGGATCCCGGGTTAATAAGCAAAGAGTTCTCAGACATGGGACCAAAACATGACCTGTAAAGGGGAAATTACAAATTAGGCTTCATCAAAACTAAAAAGTTTGCTCTATAAAAGATTCTGTTAATGGGGCGCTTGGGTGGCTCTGTCAGTTGAATGTCTGACTCTTGATTTTGGCTCCAGGTTGTGAGATCAAACCTACTGCTGGGCTCTGCATGGACTGTGGAGCCTGCCTGGGATTTTCTCTCTTCCTTGCCCTTTGCCCCTCCCCCTCTGCCACTTGTGTTCTTGCTCCTTCTCTCTTTTTTAAAAAAAAAAAAAAAAGGAAAAAAATTTAGAAAAGATTCTCTTAAGAAAGTAAAGATAAACTATAAGCCGAAGGAAAAAAATAACCCTTACAAACCACACAGCCAACAAGAATTAGTATTTGGGACTGAATATGTAAAGAACTCTCAACTCTTAATAGTAAGAAGGAAAACCAGCTTCACAAGGGGCAGAAGATAGGAACAGATGTTATAATGAAGAGATAACAGATAGCAAACAAGTACACAAAAAGACGTTCAACATCATGAGGGATGAACAAGTTGAAATCAGCCCGAGCTATTACTGCACACTAATCAGAATGGAAAAAGAACTAGTATCACTATCAAACTCTGGCTGGGACCTGGGAGACCCGGGAGAGTCTCACATTGCTGGGTAATACAGAGCAGTGCAGCCACCCTAAAAATTCAGGCAGTTTCTTTAAAAACAATATGCAGGCCCCACACCACACAGCAACTGCACTCCTGGACATTTCTTCCGGAAAAAGTGATGTGTGCTCCACACAAACCAGTGCATAAATGCTGACACAGCTTTGTTCACCTCTAAGAAGTCACTCAGAGCAACCAAAGCCTGGAAACAACCCACGTGTCCTTCAGGAGATGACGGTCAAGCAAACTCGTCCACCCATGCCATGGACTGGGACTTAATCAAAGGACAGGATTACCAATTCGTGCAACCTGGATGTATTTCCAGATAATAAGGCCGAGCGAAAAGAGTTAATCTCAAAAACTGACATACTAAATGATGTCATTTGGGTAATGTTCTGAAAGTACGAAATTACAAAAACAGTGAACAGATTGGTGATTGCTGGGGGCAAGTGGGGCAGGGGAGAAACAGACATGTGACACGGGCCCACAGTGGGGCTCCCTGGGGCACTGGAAACCTTCCCCTCTTGACTGTACTGATGTCAGCATCGATGGAGACACTCAGTTGTGCAGGGTGTGACCCTTGGAGGAAACTGGGAAAAGGATACCTAGGTCTCTTTTACTTCTTACAACTGCATGTGAATCTACTATTGTCTTAAAACAAAACAAAAAAGGAATTTAAAAAAGCCTTACACATTCCAAGTCAGGTGCAGGTGGGTTCCAAACTAAGAGGTCTAACCCAGCTTAGGCAGTTACTGAACCTCCACTAATAAAGCCTTGGATCTCACTGGAGGAGGCAGCGTTTTAGAGCAATAGTGAAGGCCAGGGACTGGGTTCTGACAAGTATACATTCTGGCTGAGGGAGTTCCAAGCAAGGAGACGTGGGGAGCAGCCAGAGATGGGAGGCTGGTGGGCACTTCCAGGAGAGTAAGAGGGGCAGGGTCAAGGGAAGCAGGGAGAAGGGAAAGGAAACACCACCTCAGAAGGCCATGCTGGCTTTACCTTCAGTTCCAAAGATCATGTATTTCAAGTCCAGACAGTTTTACCCTTAAAACTAGAAAGACACTGGACAGTGACCCACAGAGCTCTCACACCCTACCTGAATCTGCTTTCAGTCTTCCATGTGCCTCTGGAGGGGATGACCTGCCTGAAAAAGTCCTTCCCCACCCTGGAAGGCAGACCTCTCCAAATGATGGCAGTCATACCTTTTGTAGGAGCCTCATGGTTTTCTGGTTCTCCGCCCTCAGGAGGTCCTGAGAACTTTCTCTTTTTCTTCTTATAATCTGTGTCATCTAAGTAGCAGGATTGAAAAAAAAAGGTTTGCATTTATAATAGCTGCTACCATTTAACAAAAGGCCAGGCTGCTTACATCCGTCATCTTGCCCACTGCCCAAGCAACCCAGCACCTGTGGGCTTCTCCTTCTCCGCATCATAGGAGCACATGGCAAATCACTTGCCTGGCCAGAGCCCAAAGCTTAAGCCCTTGGCCTTACTTGGTTCAAATGTGAGGTCTAACAGAGTTGACCCAGCCCCAATTCACTGCTTTACAATCTGCTTCACAAAGCCCAGAGCGTACACTTGCCACACACCTTCCAAGTGCTTCTGCTTTCTCTTCCCAGGCCGAGCTTTTGTGGGCTCCTCCTCGGCGTCTCCTGCACAGGCCCCAGCTCCATCCTCTGCCCTGTCAGCAGCCCCCTCTGCCTCGCCCGCCTTTCTCTGGCTTTTCTTCCCTGCAGACCTCAGGGCTTCCCCTCCAGCCGCCTGGGCTGTTTTGTGCTTCTTAGGCTTTTGATTCTTCGAGTTCTCTTGGTGGTTTTCTAATTTTAGTTCTTTCTTCTCCTTTTTCCTATTCTTCTGCCTTTCTTCCTTCCTTTCTCTCTTATTCTTCTTCACCTCTGCTTGCTTTTCAGTGCGGTCATTTGTTTCAGAGGCTGGCACCTTAGCAGAGAGCTCTGCGCGGGGTGGGCTGACCGCCTGGGTGAGGGGCTGCCGGTCTTGACCCTTACCGACTGCTTCCTTATTACGAGGCAAAACCAAGAGACGCATAAATACTCATCCCAGACCGTTCACATCACTGCACATGGCTACTAAGCAAACTGTTCCAAGAAAAATGTCTACTACTTACCATTTTATAACTCTGACGCCCTCCAACCAAGAGCTAAAATGTAGCAGTAAATATTATCCAATGGGGGGGAAAAAACTTCCCCCAGCCCACACTCCACCCTGAATTTAACAAACATTTCGTTCCACTGGAAAACTGATGAATCCTTATGTCACATAAGCTAAACCTTTAATTTTAGTGCACTCTTCACCTTTCTTTCTGATAGAAGGTGAGCACTTGGGTACAGCAGAAACCACGGGATCTGCAGACCTGGATTCAAGCACCAGCTTATTAATTACTAGCCGGGTGACTCAGGGCAAGTTATTTATCTTCTCTGAACCGATTTCCTCACTGACAGAATGAAAGGGTGTAAGATGTACCTTGTACAGCTGATGTATGAATAAAATGGGAAGTGATGTCCTGGGCTTACAGCTCATGGCACTCAGTAAGGAGGAGCAGACTGAGGATGCTCAAAGGAGCCACTGAGCGTACAGGACAGGCTCTGTGAGCTCTGCAGTACTAGACAGGTCTCATGTACTTGTTATTCAGATTGGAGGACGGGCCTCCGGGACACGTGGCTGGAGGGTGAAGCCCGGGGAGCAGGGAAGCAGAGGAAGCAAAAGAGCTACATGCCCCGGAGGAAGATAAATGTCCGGCTGCTGCACTGCCTCATTCAAGCCAGCACGCAGATCCGACTGAGAACAGACTCCAGCAGAATGGGTCCCACTGTCCACTGCCCCACCCCTGAACATCTGCTGGTCTCCATGATAGCCCCTTCACAGGAGATGGCCCCAGAAATGTCCTGAACTGCTCTGGGAACCCTGGACTCCTCACCCAACAAGGGGCGCCATCTTCATTAGGTACCAGCCAGGTGACAGGCCAAGTCACCTCCAGTCTTCCTCCTTTGGGAGCCTGGGTCTCAAGGAGGGAGCTCCTACCCCCCAAAATGAGCCGAAAAAAGGACTGGCTTTGCCTCACGCCTCATTCAGTGCTCAGCCCTGGCTGAGAGCACAGACCTTGGGAGAGGAATGGTAAACTGACCAGCTGCCATTTCCCCAGCAGCTCAGGGAAATCAGCCAGACGGGCAGGAAATGAGCTCAGAAGCAGACTCAGGAGGAAGAAGGGACAAAGTCGCTTCACTCCTGGCCTACGGTTTCATTTTCTATCTTAGTCAGGCACTGTATGACCGCTGAAAGCCACAAACCTGAGCCTGCCTTCTACCCAGTGCAGACCATGTCTCCAGCTGTTGCCTCCCCTCTGCACCCAGAGGGGGAGACAGTCACCCCATCTTGCAGCCACTTAGTAATGAGTGAACAAAGTCATTCCCCATCTTCTTTCTACTTCATTCCAGACTCTCTCTAAATGCAGTCTCTTCAGTGACACCTTCGTTGACCCTTTTTCCAAACAGAGCCCCTCCCACTCTGCACCCCTCCTCCTGCCTTCCATTTCTTCCTTGTACCTCCCACGCCCTGTCGTGGTGTTCTGGCCTAGACCCCCGTACATAGTAATCTGTTCCACATTGGAACAAAGCTCTCTGAGGGCAGGACATTGTCCTGATTACAGCTGCCTGCACGGGGACCAGGCCTGCTCTGCTAGGGCAGAGGAAGCATCCCAGCAGACGAGGACATAGGGCCTCTGGCTGGCTGGATCAACACCAGAGGCAAAGCAGCAACAAGCCATGTCTTACAGAGCTCAGTTTCCATGAGCTGCGTACTGATTATTAATTTACTTCTTAATATGTTCAGTTTCAAAAGGGCAATCAGAAAAGACATTTTTCCTAAACTCTGCAGCGACCTAAGTGATTCCAAATCTTTGATTCTTACTTAAAAATCATGGAAATAACCTTTACAAAGACGGTGCCTCAGAAATGCTAATTAAATGACTGGTGACAGCGCCCACTTCGGCAGCACACGTACCACAACTGGGATAATGCAGAGACTAGCACAGCCCCGTGCAAGATGGCACACGTGTGACTGGTTCTAAGACTCCAAAGGCCCAATTTGTATGTTCTGAAAGAGTCAAATGCCAGGACAGTTTCATCGTTGTCCCGAGGTCCTGCCCAAACTACTCTACATAAGTCCGTCTACTCCTGGCAACGTGAACAGAATAAAACACGGTCAGTAAAGCTCACTGCTGTTTTTCAAACTACTAATGATGTAAGTCTCCAAATGGGATATAAGCTCCAAGTCGGAACAAAGTGCAGGTGAATTAGTGGGGAAAAAATTTTAAATGAACAATGTCACCAGTAAGATGGCCACAGGATATCAAACCAAGACTCTCTGCACAGAGTCCACATCTAGGGGTCTCTCAGATCGAACGTGCTAGGAGGCTAACTGAGTTACTGCAGGCAGGTGCCCACTCTGCAGGGGAAGGAGACAGAAGCTCAGCAGATGCCCACGCCACACCAGCACCTGCAAAAAGGGGTGCTTCCATAGCCTCAGCTGCTTTAATCCATGTACGGGGCCTTCTGGGAACCCCTCCCCTACAAGAACCCCTGGTCACGCCCATGTCCTCACTGTTTATTCTCTTCATGGCACCGTCGCCACCTGACATATTACACATTTTTGTTCAGGGCCTGCCACAGATTAGGCGCTCACCAAGTACTGAATAAAGACATGAACAAGACTATCCACTTTTCTTTAAAACAAGGAAACTGAGGCTCAGAGAGGTTAAATAAAGTGCCCAAAATCAAACATTTGGCCAACAGCACGGCAGGGATTCAAACCAGGTCTGTCAGACACCCAAAGCTCCTGCTCTTTCCAGTGCATCCCAATGCCTGATTTCTAAGGAAATGTTAGCTGCTACCATTATCAAACATCGAGATTAAATACCTTTCTCTGCACAATAAGGAAATCTTCTCTGCAGTGCATTCAGTATATTCTTTCCCATAAATGAAGGCACAAAGAGGCTCTCTGAAAAAGAAGGCTGTCTTGACCTCCAAAAATAAGACATTCCCATTTCATTATTACTAATCACTTTTGCCACACTGGAAATCTAAAATTAGATCTGACTTACATTGCTGGAAGCTTCAGAAAAGATATTCCACACCTGTTCCAGAATAGATTCATTATGAACTTTTAAACTGTTCTTCATCCAATTCTATAAGGAACAAAAAGAAGAAGAAGAAAAAAAAAAAAGAACCACTTGTTCCATTTTGACAGGTACATGCATGCTCAGTTACCAGTGGGCCACACATCCCCTCCACTCAGGGAAGACACAGCAAATCCATACCTGAAATTTTGCCTTTTTCCTGGGAACGTTGTCAAAACCACTAATTTGCTCTAAAAGTTCTCTCACTTTGGGGCTGACATTGGGTCTTTTTATTAATTCATTAATTTTCTACAAAAAAGGAAGATAAAGCAAAAGTAATAAACAACTGGCACAGGAGTTTCATGAAAGCCAAATTAAGTATCCTTTCCCATGGCTAGAGGTTTCTCATCCCAAGGCTAGATTTTATTTTCATGTCTATGCTTATAAATTCACCACAGTACTAAAAGTCCTAACCGGAGCAATTAGGCAAGAAAAAGAAATAAAAGCATCCAAATTAGAAAGAAGTAAAATCAATTCTTCATAAATGATTTGTCTTACGTGCAGAATGCCCTAAAGATTCTATAAAAAAAAAAAAAAATCCCATTAGAACCAATAAATTCAGCAGTCACAGGATGCAAAATCCACACTTGAAAATTAAGTTCTAGATTTCTAGATACTAACAGACACTCTGAGAATGAAATCAAGAAATTAAGTCCATTTACAACAGCAACAAAAAGAATGAAATAAACTTAATCATTAAGGAGGGGAAAGACTTATATGCTGAAAACTATGAACATCATTGAAAGAATCTAAATAAGACACAAACAGGGGTTCCTGGCTGGCTCAGTAGGAGGAGCATGTTACTCTTGATCTCAGGGTTGTGAGTTCAAGCCCCATGCTGGATGTACAGATTTCTTAAAAAATAAAACTTAAAAAAATGATTTGAAAAAGAAAAAAGTCACAAATAAATGGAAAGACATTGTGTTGCGGGTTGAAAGACTTAATATTAAGATGGCATTACCAACCAAAGTGAGGTATAGGTTCAGATGCAAGCCTATGAAAATCCAATTGACATTTGTGGGTTTTTTTTTTTTTTGCGAAAATAGAAAACTCCACCCTAAAATGCACATGGAATCTGAAGGGACACCAAATAGCTACAATAGTCTTGAAAAAGAAAAAGCTGGAGGTCTCATGCTTTCTGATTTCCAAGCCCATCATAAAGCTAGAGTAATCACAAATGCATGGCACTGGCATAAGAATGGCCACGTCAACAAGAGCCAAAGGGCTAATAATGTACGAAGTCCCTAGAGTAGTCAGATTCAGAGAGAGAGAAAGCAGAATGGTAGGTGTCAGGGGCTGGGGGAGGAGGGAACATGAAGAGTTAGTGTTTGACAGGACCAGAGTTTCAGTTTGGGAAGATGAAAACATTCTAGAGATGGACGGTGGTGCTGGTTGCATAGCAGTGTGAAATGTACTTAATTGTGTACTTAAAAATGGTTAAAGTGGTCAATGCTAGGTCTTATGTAACTTATAATTTTCTAAAGAAACTTGGAAAAAAAAAAAGCCAAAAGTGATCCAAAGACTAAGACAAAAATGGCTATTACAGACTAGGAAATTACCTGAGGACCAAGACAACAAGCGATTGTCTAGATCTAATAAATCTGAAATGGCAAGAAAAGAACAGGGATGAAAATTAAATAAGTGAAAAATGCTTATGGCAATCTGAGTGAAGGCAGAGGAAAAAGATAGCTATTCAAATGAGAGCAATGATAGCACACAAGAAAGATGGTCACTCATATGAGCCAACAGGACAAATCAACATAGCATAATGCAGGATAATGTCCTTGCATTAGGAAAGAAAGCTACATATAAACACACCAGAAAAAATGGGTACAGGAGACTCAGAGGAGGCTGAGACAAAGATTTTCTAGGCCCTCAGGCAGAAAAACCAATCAAGACAATGACACAAGGCGGCATAGGAAGAAGTCAAGCTGGCTGGGCACTGGCCACGTAGTGTCACAAGAGAACAGGGCACTGGGGACAAAGCTCGGAGGAAAACACTGTGACCCCAGCAAGCAGGCGCTCTCTCCCTGAGCCATCTATCCACTCTGTGTGTGAGCACAGAGAACTCTAGAAGGATGCTCCAAGAACGTTAATACTGACAGGATTCCAAAATTCTGTCTTTAAAACTGAAGGGGTTTAAGGATTTTTAAAAAAGTACAACCCCCCACCCCGCCCTGAGTCCAGCTGTCAGAGAGGTCACAGCCAGCTCATTCATTCTCCCAGTACACGCATCCATCTGTTCACACAGCCAGCTAGGGGCTCAGGGAGGAATCCGATGACTGGTGGGCAGGTGGACCAGGACGGAAGCTGGCAGACAGCTCTTGATCTAGAATCCAGTGACAGTGCTACTGAAGTCTGACAGTTTACAGTAGGCCCAGCAAACCTTTTCTGTGAAGGGCCAGGTAGTCAAGATGTTAGGCTTTGAGGACCACCTGGTTTCTGTCCCAACTACTCAGCGCTGCCCTGGTAGCTCTAGGTAACAACAGACAACATGTAAACCAGCGGGCTGCAGGCTGCAGACCCTGCCTTCAGAAGATTTCCTTCAAGACACAAAGGAACTCCTCCACCCAGGTACCGCAAGCTCGGGGCCTAGAATGTCTTTTTTGTTTCTTGAGGGGGAATCAAGATTCAGTATGAGCCCAAAAGTGAGCCTGATGGTCTCCGGCCTAAATATCTTTGTTAAAAAAAGGAGTTTCACTGGCTTCTGCAGTGGGCACCGAGTTAGTCCTTTGTGAATGGATTTTCCCTCCCAGAAGTCTGAAAACTCACATTTAAACTCTAACACCAAAGGGAGTTAACTACTATTTATTTGGTTTCTAGGAGAACAGAGAATTTCCATAAAGACGGCATTTATCTTTTCTTTCTCCTACCTTCTATTCTGAATCCTTCCTGCTATCCATTCTGTAAACGGGGGGTACCATTCTGGAAGCTGTACCTCTCGGTGAATTAGGGATTTTGCTGCATTTGCCATTTTTACTGTGCATGTTTCCATTTTATTTAAATGGAAAATTCCTTGTATTTATGAAAATATCTTTATTTTGCTCGATTCTGGTGACTGATAGATATGGCAGATTACTACATGGTTTGAGTGATAAGAGCTGAATTATCACCAGAAGCAGATAAAGATTAGAAAGCATCCATTCAGTCTCATAGCCGAGGGAAAAATAGTGAGAATTTTAAAACCCTTTTTTGCAAGAAGTCTGCAAAACATGGGACTAAAGACAAATTACACTGCAACTGTATTAACAGAAAAATAAGAACTCCTTGTCATGATTTAGTTATTCAACCTCAACCTGTCCCAAGACAATGTTTCTGCATCTTGCCTGTATATATGATGCACTTGTTCTTAGGCTTCCAGAGAAAACGGAAGATGTCAGAAGAAGCTACCTGATGAATTAGAAAGACCTTACCTGAATCCACGCCTGCTGTTTAATATCGCCTTTGTGGGTTTTACCTTCATAACCTTTGCCACCATACTTCTGTTCTTCACTGATGCACTTCACATGGTTTTTGTAGTCATCGCCCCTTCAAAGTGATAGAAAGTTCTGCCTTCAGATGGATTCTCCAACTGGAGGCTCTGATGCTCGCAGCTGCTCAGACCTCCTGCACTCCACAGTTCTCCTATGCTTATCACCTCCTTCCTCCAGATTGTTCAGTATAAAGCCCACCCCCAAACTTCCTACCCATTTTTATACAGATGTCTCCCACTGACAGGGAGTACTTTTTTTTTTTTTTTTTTGGTCATAGTATGTATATAGTAGGTCAGCACTAATTCATTATAGAGTAAGTTAAAAGTTGGAGTAAAATAGTGGAATCTTATCACTAAAAAGTTCTAGATCTGCGAGTCTTGGCAAACAAGGAGACTTGATTCTGTCTCCTACAATCATTTTGAAGCTCTGCAGGATCCTTGGGGAAATGTCTGGGACCAGGTTGGGGGCAAGGTCCCCCAATGAGAAACAACCCAATTTTCACCTGCTTTATAGATCAGGCTTCCTCCCAGCATTAGTTATGAACAAAGTCTTTAGCAGTTTCCAAAAACTACTTTTAAAAAAATCACTGCTCTAAAATGAAAGTAAAATGGATTTTTAGCAGATGGCTTCCAAACGCCACAGAGGACACTGAGGCCGACGCACCAAAAGCCGCCTTTGCACTTAAACTGTGTGAAGCTCAAGGGGACTCAGCAGAAGACTGAGGTGAGCCATCTGCAAATAATGACCCACCTCAGGAAAGAGTAGGTAAGCAAGTCAGAGGTCTGTCCTGTGCCCACCCCCAGTCCTCACCTTTCCCAAGACCCCTCACAGTGGAAGTACCTGACACACTAGGGGGCCAGGAGCTCACCTCTACCATCACCCGTGAACTTCTGGGGGAGCCCAGTCTTCCCCCAGCCCCCACTGTGAATGAGTCAACTCTTTTTCTGGTTTATAAGTCCCACTCCTCAGTGTGACCAGCGCACTGTGCTCCTGAAGCCTTACTTTTCACCTCTCAGGGTCTCCTAACGGTGGCAAGGAGGTGTCGCTGAGTGCCACCGATGGACCAAATCCTCCAAACATCCTCATCTTCCCCCCTCCCCCTTGTCTTCTCTTTGGACTGTCCTTAGAAAACAAGCCATAAAACACTTTTTTTCACTTAATTTCTTTCCTCAAACTTACCTCTATTTTTTTTTTTTTTTTTTTTCTTAAGGCTTCATGGGGTCAGGGCTTCTAAAACTGGTCTGGACCTTTAATATGATCTTCAAGAATTGTGTAGAACTTACCAGAAATCTTTACCGCAGTCAATGCAAGATAGGCATTCACAATTTCTGCAAATAGCCACATGCTTTTCTACTTGTACTTTCTTCACTGATTCACCACATGCATTGCACGTAAAAAATACCATTTTTAGCTAAATGGTTATGTATTCTCTATACAAGCTAGGTTTGAAGTCTCGTCCTAAAAGAAAATTAAAAGAAAGGAAAAAATAAATATCACTGTAATATGAAACTTCTGTTCCCAATAAAGAATCATACAGCTCACTTTTCAACCATAATTTCACATGAAAATAGCTACAAAGAACAGAATCCAAGTTGATTAGCGAACTACATAAAACTCTACCAGCATGTAAGTAAAGTTATAACTAACAGTGAGGGTGGTTGACATTTGTTAAGCATGCTCACCATGTGAGGGCCTGTTCTAAGAGTTTTATACATATTAACCTATTTAATCCTCACAGCAACCTTGGAGGGAAGGACTGTTAACTGTGTACAATTTACATGGCGAATGGAAACAGAGAGATTAAGTTACTTCTCCAAGGTCACAAAGTAGCAGACCCAGGATTTAATTTTGGTAGGCTGGCTCCAGGGAAGAAGTTTTAGGGACATTAAGCAAAATGTCTTACATTTTCTAATGGAAAGCTTGCTTGCCCCCCCCCCCCATGCCTTTAGATGTGAATTGCCAAATTATTTCAGAACATAGTGAGAGGGGAATTCAGGAGGGATTAGAAAATGAAGAGGTGTAAACATTTCTTAAAACACAGAAAACATTCATATAGGCGTGACTACATACCCACAGGTGTTAGCTCTGAGGATATGCCCTCAGATTTAGTGCACAGGGAGTAGGTGAGGGAGAGGCCTCCTTCATGTGGCTTCTTACTGGATCAGTAAAGAAGTGGAACCATGTATCAAGGTGTCGTCCCAGCTGCTGGGCACTGAATTACAGACCCAGGGGTCCCAAGCACTGCCCCAAGATTTAGTATGTCTGTGGCAAATACATAACTACCATTTACAGATTTCACGCAGACACGACCGTGCTCAACAAAACAAATTCATCCAAAAGTGTTACAGGAGTCACAGTAACTTTCCATGGCTACATAGTTTTTTAATCACTACATCCTCAAAGAATATTGTAATTTTGCATTATAAATTTCACAGCAAAAATACTGACAACTGTTTAACCCAGCATATTCTTCCTCTTTATAAAGGCAAGGGTAAGGGTCAAGTAAACTGGTGCACTCTGATTCACACAAAAATCCTTCACAGATGAGCAATGGGGTTCACAAGAGAATTTCCATGCATGAAATCACCCTCTCTTCCACTCCCATGTTCTCGGTCACTGTCAGGTCACATATAAGGAAGTTTCAGGGCTGTTCCCTTCCATTCAGCCTTGAATGGAAATGTACATCCTGGCTGCAACCCCAGGGTTTACGAAGACCCAGCCGATGCCCGTGGAAGCCTCTTGCCCGTCGGACATCAGCTTGCCTAATACACTACACGCAAAGGCAGGTCCCCGGCTCTGGGTTCCCCTGCGCAGCTTGCCAACAGTGTGGCCTGGCAAGGGAGGGACTGTGGTCAGCCACAGCCTCGCACCCAATCCAGATGGAAGCAAACCTGATTGTTCTTGGATGTGAGGCAACCATGACCATCTTCTCATCTGGTTATCGTAAAGACGTGCCAACCAGTCACAAGTCCTAGGGAGCTGCCATCAAGTGGACTGGGACCCTGCTCCCCCCGACCCTGGCATTCTGTAGATAGCAGATGGATGCTCAATGGCAGGCAATGAGATCATCGGCTGCTTGGCCTCACAAGGGGAAAACAAAGGCCAGAACAAGAACCAACATGTTATTCAATAGTCTGTGGAGGCACTTTTGTGTAAGGACCAGTGCAAATCGTTAGTCACCAAGAAATGGATGGCCTTTGTGACCACACGGTATAAGCAGCTACGTCCAGCCAAATTATCTGATGAAAATTTTAAAAATACTTTCATTATGAAATCCAACAATGAAAAATACCCCCTCAAACTTAAGCTATGGCCTAGAGCTTTCTGACTTTCACTGCAGAGGTCCATTCTGTTTCTCAATCGAGGGGATGAGGGGAGGGGAAAAGGTTTCAGCAAGCTTTGAGATCCAACTGAAAGACACAGCCTGTCACTGAAGGTCAGGAATTAAAGGCCCAGGGAGGTTAGCTGGAAACAAAATGTATCAACTGAAAGAAGCCAGTGATGTTGACAAAAAAGATGCTCGGAATATCTGTGCAAAACACATTATCTCTCTAGGGATTAGCCACACACCGAGTAAACATCAGTTCAGAAGAGGATTAGAATTTGGTCATGTGTCCCATTGGAAAACTACCCCTTCCACCCTTTTCATTTGGTCTTTTGTGGCAAATGTTCACATCTAGAATTTGGGGGGGGGGGGCCGGCTGCCAAGCAGAATGGGTAGCTTGCAGGGAAAGTCACAGCTCAGTCTCTCAGTGCCTCAGATCTCCAGAGCCACCCGTGCATTTTTACACTTGCTCTCAAACGGGGACGGTGTGGCCACCCACTTGTTAATGAGATAAGGTTTGTAAGGAGCTTACCCCTCCCTTTTAGAGCTCTGAGGACACCTCAGCATTAGCCGAGAGTCACCTTGATCAAGCCTCAGATCTGAACACCTTTCCTGTATGCAGCAAACACCAAACACCTGTGCGGGGGGGGGGGGGCGCACCACACAGTGGGCCAAGTGGCCCAAGTCTTAGAGCAGGCTTAACAAAGGCAGAAGCATAAATGCTACACGCTTACAAAAAGGCGCCTTCTGAAAAGTCAGTCCCTCTAATGGAAGGTAGCAAGCACTGCCTAGAACAAAAAAAGCTTACTCAGATTTCACAAAAGTAAGTAAACGTGAAAGAACTTCTAATAAACTTTCAAGTGGATATTTTTGGTAAATTTGTGACATTTACACTTCAGACATTTGGAAAGCTGGAAACAAGCTGCATTAAGACTTCTAGGACACTCTCTCCACAGGGCTTAGATATTATGTATTTCAACCTGTAGTCCCAAGTGTAAAGACACAATGGCATTTTTTATGGGGTTGAGCCTAAATAAGGATCCCCATTTTCGTTCCCTGGCTCCCCAACTCTCTGTGCACAAGGCCAGGTCCCAATACAGCCACAGACATTCTGTGTGCTCTTCCTTCTAGAGATGTGGACACATGAAAAGAGAAAGCAAGTGTTTGTGGACTGGTCAAGAGCATACTCGGGTTCTCACCCCCCGTAAGTCACTGTAATTCATTTTCGCAGACCTTTGGTCAATGCCCAGGGTGCACTGGGATCCAGATACACCTGGGAGCCTTCCCCAAAGGAGACCAGTCACACTGTGTGAGCTTCCGGGTCTCTAGTCATCTGTTTGGTCAACTTACTGAGCTCTCAGCAGAGGCCATAACCCAAGAAAAAGATGAATTACAGAATACAATCATCAGCTCTCCATAAAGCCATTTCACACTAACAATCACAACTGCACCCAACACCTCCAGAACAGGTGTGATCATGCCACCACCCCGGCATCTGTAAGAGAAAACGGAGGCTCAGAGAGGTTAAGTCATTAGGCTGGAGACACAGGGAATGGCACAGTTGGCCTGTGACAAGCCCAAGCTTCTGCCCTGCCTTGTCATCTTGACTTGCCATGTTTGTGGCCATTTGCTTGGCCATTATTCAGCATGTGGGACCCTGAGACCCTCATCCCAAAAGAAAAACAAGAATAAGAACAACAACAACAAGGCTCTACAGTGACCTTCCATTTTACACTGTAAGGATTCTGAAGGTCCCCACACACTGAGCAAGGATACCACCCATGTCACAGCTGAAGATATCAGGTGATGGAAAATGAGGCTGAATTGAGGGCAACAGATGGCAACAACAGGGGCTGGGAACTTGTGAGGGACGTGGGGCACCTCAGACTCCTCTTATCAGGGTGGTGGCCCAGTTCTGTTCAATGTTCTGGTGACTTAGGGCCAGAGATCTGAGAGGGAGCCTGCATCTGCCAATGAAAAATGACCTCAAGCTACCTTAACTTTCCAGATTCTGTTCACCTATAAAATGGGTCTAATACCTATCTTAGAGCACTGCGTGGAAAATAAGAGATAGGAAAGATTCATCCTTATCCAATGGTAGCATTTCTCATGACCTATTAATTTCCCTATCAATGCTATTGCATCTGATTCCCTGCTAAACCCATGTCTCTTTAAACATGACTAGCTTCATAAAATCACTCATCTCCTCTGGGTCCCGTCCCATGGGGACCTACTCTGCCACCCTGTTCCCCGATACAAAGAATTCAAGTTTAGTTCTAGAATGGGGATTTCGAGTTCTCTTTAAACCTTCCTGCCTCTACATTTTTATATTGTTTATTTTTACAAAAAACTACAGTCACTACTCTTAAAACATTCTCTCACAGACATGTATGCAGAGACCCAGACCCCATGACCACTGCCAAAACAGCCCACCTCGGAGGCCAGGCTGGCAATGTCAGCACAATCCCCAGTGAGCCCTGTGACCTCCAACAAGCCACTGTCCCCTCTGAAATTCTCCCATCTATGAAACAAGGGATCAGGAGTCCCTTCCAGGGGTAGAATTCCAAGAAACCAAGAGTATGGGACAAGGGAAGGACAGAAGAGTACACACTGTCCACCATCTTGCCCAAGCCCCTGTGGGGGGTGAGGATGTTCTCCACGTGTGCTCACCCTGTGAGGCTGGCACCTCTAACTCCACTCAACACATAAGCACAGGGAGGCGGGCCAAAGTTGAGCCTTGTCTCTCCACCTCCCCATAGCACTGCATCACCAGCATTCCTTCGTGGGTGTTAGCAGCTGTGGAGTCTGCCACGTGTCAGACACTATGCTGGGCACTGAGGGCCTGGGGGTTGCTGTGTGGGTCCCAAGCGAGCTCTCTGCAGGGAAGTCAGCCTTGCAAGTACACCCCGCCTGTCTCCCCAGAGGCAGGTGCTGCAGAAAATCCAGACCTTCACCGGTCCAGGTGCCAAGCCCTGTCCTAGGTGATTAATACATTTCTGCTCATGTACTCCTTGCAGCACTACTCTGAGTTAGGTTCTATAGGATTTCCTTTTGAGAGACCAAGGCACAGAGGCACAAAAACGAGTAACTTGCAGAAAGTCACACAGCCAGTCAGCGGCAAACCTGGACTTCCAGGCAGTTATATACAGCGGCCCTAAGTCGGTGGTCTCCAGCACTGAGCCCTAAAGCCTCCTCCTTAGGGACAGAGCTCCCCAGGCCTCAGGGGAGACGAGAGCCTTGCCCCCGACCCCCGGTCACCCTGGACAGAAGGGGTTCCCGACACGAGGGCCTTTCCGCCTGAAAACCCGGACGAATCGGTCATTCTAAGTCCAGGGGTCCCTCCATTGCCCCAGAGCACGAGCGGGATCTGAATGCGCTGCCTCCTCCTTCCGTGGGGAAGTCCGAGGAGGGGCTCTAATGGGGGAAACGCAGGCAGCGGCCACACCGCCCGCCCCGGAGCCCCAGCGTCCCGGGTCAGACCTCTGGGCCGCCGCCCCTCACCTCTCAGCCAGCGCCCGCCAACGGTTTCAACCGGCCGTAAAGAGCACGTGGAAACGCCGCCGCCGGTGCAGCGCCGCAGCCACCTCCCTCCAGAAAGCCCCAGCGCAGAACCCGCTTCGGGGCCGCCCCCCGCGCCTGCGCGCCGCGGCCACCTCCCGGCGGAAGTGACGGCCCCGGAAGCCGGAGGCGGATCCGGCCTGCCGAGGGGGCGTAGTCGGGCTGGTTCCGCGGCTGCCGGGGCCCGGCGAGTGGCGGTAAGGGCGTCGGCGGCGGCAGGTAAGGAGGCGGCGGCGGGGCTGGGAGCGGCCTCCCAGGGTAGGTGACCGCGGGGCCAAAGGCCTGCCTCCCGAGGGCGCGGGGCCTGGCGCGGTGCAGTGGGACTGGGCCGGAGCCGCCGCCGCCCCCGGTTCGCGCGGGACTTGGCTGCGGCCCTCTGGTCGCGCGAGGGTCGCGCGGGACTTGGCTGCGGCCCCCGGGTGCGCTCCCTATTTGCTCCCGTCACCCTGTAGTCGGGGCGGTGCTGAGCACCGGGGAGTCCCTGGCCCCTCGTAGCCTCGTTTCCGTGCGAGCCGAGCGCTAGTGCAGCGGGCGCAGGACGCCGTCCGGGTCCGGTTCCGAAGGCGATGAACGTGGGGCCCTGGGCACAGCGCCTGCCGCGTGGTGGTTTAGCTGCTCCTGCGGCCCCGACACGAGGCTGGCACTCGGGGATGGTCCCTGAGCTGCCTGACGGAGGCTTGGGAACTTCGGGAACCGGGGGCGGCGGGGGGCGGTGCGGAGGTTTCACCCCAGAGGGGAGCGGGTTCTTGGAGCAGGGAGCGCATCCTTTCGCCGCTCTGGAGGCTGGAAGTCCAAGATGAAGGTAGCAGCGGACTGGTTTCTCCTGAGGCTGCACTGCTCGGATCCCAGACACCCACGTTTGTGCCGCGTTTTCACATGGCCTTTCTTCTGTGCAGGTGCATCCCTGCTGTCTCTGTGTCCAGATCTCTTACAGGGACATCAGTCAGGTGGAATTAGGGTCCACCCTAACGGCCTCATTTTAACTTAATTATCTCTCTGAATACCGAATCTCCAGCCCTGAAATACTCTGAGGTACTGAGGGTTAGGGTTTCAACATAGGGATCTTGGAGGGAAAGGATTCAGCCCATCAGAGAAGGCATTCACCAGAATGGACAAGAAAGAAAACATTTTCCAACAGAAGTGACAGCATGGCCTCCCTGTTTAAAAAGCAGGTGCTTGAGTATTTTGTATGCCTCATTCTTGCTCTCTCCTGCATTTTTTTTTTTTTTCATTTCTTCCCCCTGGGGTGAGGGGCTCTCATCATTCTTTCTCTGTAACCCATTTTTTCAGCTTTCAGCACACATATCTCTTCCTTGAGATTTTTTTTCCCTGACCCTCCTCCTTCAAATTAATTTCTACTTCCCTTATTCAGTATCTCCAGGATAGTGCTATTGTTTTTCCTGTGTCTGGGGCATCTGGGTACAAGAGCACCTGGCTCGGGGAGTCCCAAAGAGACTGCTGACAAAATCCAAAGGCAGACAAATGGGTGGTGGTGAAACCGGAAAAGGATTTATTTCAAGGAGGCCAACATGGGGAAGGCAAAGACCGTCTCCAAAGTCATGGAAGTGCTTTCAGGTTTATGTTAAGGAAAATCTGGGACAAATGTTGGTAGATAAGTGCAGGTGGGCCGTGAAGGAAGCCCATTGTTGTCTTGGGGTCAGTCACATGGGGTCTTCCTGGTTCAGGGCAGTGCTTATGGCTTGACGGGGTAGTTTCGATCAGTTGGAATGCATTGCCCACAGGGTCTTTTGCCCGAGATAAATCGGGAAGAAGAACATAATCAGAAAGTGCAGACTGAGGTTAGGATGGAGGGAGTTGAATTGCTCTTTCACTCTGGTGGACCGACGCTTCCTGAAGGTATAGGTGACCATGTGTGAGTGTTTCACTCTCATACCCTCAGTGTCTGGCATGGAGTGACGCTCTATAAAGTTAGGTGAATGATGTGAAAACCGAGACAGTCTGTGGAGGACAGGGAGCAGGCCTCAGTTTATCAGCATTTCCACCTCACAGCAATGTCTCGCATATGTCAGGCACACATCAGCAGTTAGCCTCGTTGGCCTACATAGCATCGTAGGGTCAGCGTAGAGCTAGGACAAGAACCAGACTTGCTTGCTTGTCATGGGGTTTGGAGTCGGGGTGAGAGGTGGATTAGAAATAAGCCGTTTGAAAACCATCATGGATGGCCAAAGACAAAGGTAGGCCCACTTTAAGGCAGGCTGGGTGCTGGGGTGTGTGAACTGTGGACCCTTGAGAAATGATCCATTAATGGCCCAGGGAACAAATTTCTACAAATTCTTGTTGTTTTGACCAGTTGGTAAACAGAACAGAAAGCTCTTTGCTCTAGGAGCCTCTCTACAGGATAAAATTACGTTCTGGCTCTTTTTCTATTTAGAAGCACCTCTCCATTCACATTTAAGCTTTTTCTTTCTTTCTTTTTTTTTTTTTTTTAAATTTTATTTATTTATTTGACACAGAGAGAGAGAGAGATCACAAGCAGGCAGAGAGGCAGGCAGAGAGAGAGAGGGAAGCAGACTCCCCGCTCAGCAGAGAGCCCAATGCGGGGCTCCACCCCAGGACCCTGAGATCATGACTCGAGCTGAAGGCAGAGGCTTAACCCACTGAGCCACTCAGGCGCCCCCATTTAAGCTTTTTCTTGTGTTTTTCTCTTTTCCCATATTTTCATTCCTTCTGATGCCATTCAGTCCCTCTTTCCACCATCACATTTTTGGTATAGATTTATAGCATTTAAAATAGGAAGATACTGGAGCTCCTGGCTGGCTCCATTGGCTGAGTGTCTCACGATTGATTTCTACTCAGGTCATGATCCCAGGGTGGGGAGATCAAGCCCCATGTAAGGCTCCGCACTGAGTGTAGAGCCTGCTTAAGATTCCCTCCCTCTCACTCTGTTCCTCCATGCCCCACTCGCATGCTTGCTGTCTCTTTCTCTCTAAAAATAAACAAAAAAATGCTTTTAAAAAATGAAACAGGAAGATACTTTAGAAAATGATCTAACCCAGTGGGGGACCCCTCCATTTTTACATATCACAAAAGAGGCCCAGAGTCTCCACCCATCCAGAAGCGATATATTGAGCACCTGCTGTGTCCAGGGCGCTCTCATAGGGATACAAGATCCAGGGATACACTGATCAATAAGACAGAAGTAGGCAGTGTCTTTACCACAGATTTTTGTTCCTTGTCACACAGTGTGAGAAGCTGCAGAGATGGAGATACGTCTATGCTCTTTGTGTCACACAAGCACGCTTTCATCCCCACAGATGCTGTACCTGGGCGGTGAGGCTTGGGTGGTAGACTGAAGGGACAGCTGATTTGGTCCAAGGAACGCCTGTGTCTTGTCATGTGTAACTCAGAGTAGTGGTTAAGCATGTGGGCTTTGGAGCCGTTCCCTGGCTTTAAATCCTAACTCTGTCTCTTACTGTTACTTATTAGCTGTGTCTGTCTTTTCTGTACCTGGTCAGGTTATCACTTGCATTGCAACAAACTACCCCAAAACTTAGTGACTCAAAAAGTTTTATCTCACAGTTTCGTGGGCCAGGAATTCAAGCAGGGCTCCACTGGGCATTTCTTCAGTTCCACGTGATATTCAGCTGGAGGCGGGGGCTGCTCTGGGGAGTTAGAGGGTGCTGTGTTCCCATATCTGGTACCTGGGTAGGGGGGCCTGGAAGGCTGAGCTCAGCCGAGTTCTTGGACTCCACATATTCTCTCGAGTTGGGTGCTTTACAGCCGACTCGGGCCTCCAGAGTCACTTTTCCAGAAGAAAGACAGTGGTAGCGGTCAGCTCTTAGGGCCTCAGCCCAGAAAGGAGCACAGCTTTACACCCTTCCTTTTGCCTGTTCCATTGATTAATAGGTTAGGGTTAGATTCAAGGCAGGAGAGACCTAGATCCCACCTTCCCTTGGGAGGAAGGTCAAAGTTGTAGCTGTCTTTAATCCTCCAGGTACTTCATTGCCCTCATGTATAAAATGAGGATAACAATAGCACTTATCCTACATTTATCATGAGAATTAAATGAGTGTGAATTAAGTATGAAATGAACATGATAATTAAAAGGTGTGGGTAAAGGGCTTAGCATAGCAGCTGGCATGTTAGAAGCATTTTACAAGTATGTGCCATTTATTATTACTGACCTTAGGTCTATGATAAGTTGTTATTTATAGTCGTTATTCCTAGGACACACTAGGAATTTAAGTAAATTGTTTTCCCACAGCTCTCTATAATCTTATTGGGGAAGTACAGGATTGACATCATGAAGCCATTAGAGAACTATATCGACTAGTATGGTAGTTACGATTTTTACAGTCAGTGTAAATTGTGGGAGAGTTTATAACTGTGCATGTTATTTCTATAGCTGGAAAATGTCTAAAGCAGAGTCAGAATATTTGCTGCAGTGTAGCATTTAAGTCTATAGAGGAAGGTTTTGTGTTGTATTTTTAATGTCCTTTTTCTCATGAGCCATAGCATAGCTTCATGGGCTCCAGGATCAGGAACTAACCCTGGCTTTGGAACACAACAGTTTTATGATCTTGGGCTAGTTACTTAACTCCTCATTTCTTAATTTCCTCCCTTATAAAATGATGATAATAGGGTTATGGTGGCATTATTTGAGTTAGTGGATAGAATGTGCATAGCACAGTTTCTGGCCCATGGTAAATAGTCTGTAAGTGAGGGGTCATAAGAATAAGCCAATAATCCTTTTCTTTTCAAGCCACCAAGCGGGTGAGGGTAGGTGACTGATTGCTCCATCATTTGTCTGTTCAGGTCCCCTGAGGATTCAGCACAGGACAGTGCCCCACCAGCTGACCTCGTGCCTCCTGGTCCATAGTCTTGTATTAGGTGATACCATGCTCTCCCAGTGCCAGTGGTTGCTCTTTATAGGTGACGTCACCAGTTTTCCTCACATCCTGCCCTGATCTCAAACCAGGAAATCGGGCCAATGTGCCAAACTCACATATCAGAAACTAAGCTTTCCACAAAGAAATAGGGCACTCAGAACAAGGTATAGAGCTGGGGGTGAGTTGGTAGGGGTGAGTTTTAGAGATTCAAAGTTGAGGGGTCATGCATTTGGAGACATTTAGCA